GTTCATTTTAGTGAAGTTCATGTATCTATTTACTGTATAAACTGCTTTTGTATGTATGCCACTGCCAGCAAACTAAACTGTAAACAGCAACTGTCTACATTAACCATGGAAATATACCTACTACAATTCACCAAGGAAAGGCCAACATAGTTCCGTGTAGAAGCTCATAGCTCACACACATAGCACAAAGCTCGATTTGGTGTTTAATGCATGTTCTCGCCGGCAGAACTGCTTCCATTTTTTCGCCAGGTTTGCGTCCGTAGGAAACGGAAAAAAACTTATATAGCACGCTTTCACTATTACACTTCGCCACTGCACACTTCATTTTGCTTTTTAATGTCTCAAAAATTGTTTAAAACCACGCAGAAATATTAACGCACAAATATTAAAATTGTTATTTGGTTTTTTCGTAAGCTCACATTCAACAATTGCACCAAGATGACGTCACGCACACAGCTCACTCTGTCAAAATCACAAAGAGCGGATTAGCGGTACCGCGATTGGCGCAATCTCTATTTCTCTCAATCGTGGTAAAATGCGACTAATTAAACTTGTAAGATATAAGTAATTATTCGTTTAGTCAGTGAACTGTGTCAGTATAAGAATTCAGGATTTGTTTTCTTACGTTTTCAATTTTATACTTTTTACAGGTCTATTCTGCGCTGGTAACATAAATTTTATAACCGGTAGATAATTAAAGTGTCTGTCAATTTTTAAACCTTTTTCGCATTCTGTGCTCTCTTGTAACCGGTAAATTTGGTTACCATCTCATAAGCTGGTAACAAAATATTGCCGCGTGAAATATGCAATACAGGAATTTCCACAAATCTTCATAGCTGAGTTGCTGAATATTTTCACTGCATTACCAACGTACCTAGAATCGCGGTGACAAGAAGTGGTAACATTTTTTGGTAATAAAATTTTCCGGTCACAAAATCTTCGGTAACGTGCAGAATGGACCTGTTAATGTAAACAAAATTCCTATCAGCTGTTCGTCTAACTTGCATGTTTCTGCAAATTTTCTGTTAGCGTACTATTTTGGATATTTTTGATATTTCACCGGAACTTCGCTGTTGGACATTTTTGACTGGAGATTTAAACGAACGTACCTATTGACTATCCAACATTTAACAGAGTTGTTACGAACGGCTTTAACTGACCTAAAACCAGATTTTTAAAATCTCGCCAAAGGGATCTTTTGAATTTTCTTTTATATCTATCTTACGCCCATGCTCGAAGATGCTTTTTATTATTACCATTATCTATCTAAGATTATTGATAAAACTATAGACCAATTGGGTGAACAGCCAAGACGTTTATGTACTTCTTAAGTGTGACAAAACAAAATCAAGTAATATATTTAGCATAAATGAATATACCAGCATAAAAAATCTGCATACTCAAAATGTTCAATACGTCCTCATATTTATACATACCAATGTATATAATTTAAGAGAAGATATTTCGCTGCAAAGCAATGATTATAATTTGTTAGTTTACCTTACAAAATTGCGGAGGAACATTACAGAGTATACGGAAAAAAGTTTGTTTTTTTACATATTTTATTTTGAATACCATCTGGTCCGGCTATTTGGTTTACTATACAGGTATGTAGAGCTATGAATATAAAAAAAAAATACATCAGGGTTTAGTTGAGATATTTGCTTTTGACCACTATGTTTTGTACATTTCCCCGTACTGCAAAGCTTTTCACTGCCATTCAACTGGGAGTGGCCCGCGTGCGCTGGGTTTGGGTCCCGCCACGTTAAAACCCTGCCCAATGAAAAAAAACACATGTCTCGGATGATAACCCCTTCTTTTGATGACGATCACGGCAAACATAGGAAGGACTATGATTTTAGGGTATGCACTTGAAATATGCGAACCCTTAATCGGGATGGTGCCTCTGCCCGGCTGGTTGATGTCCTAGGGAAAATAAAGGCTGACATCATCGCCATCCACGAAATGCGATGGACGGCAACCTTGGCACCCACGCCAAGGCGCGAGTGTGCTGACTGTTTGTTTGATGACAGG